TCGTATGGTACTCCATTTCTTACAGCGTAGCGTGCCAACAACAAGGTGGTGATCGGTTGATAGCTCTGCGTCTCTCTTAACACGAACATCCATTACTGAGAGTCTTCGGTCAGACGATTCGATTATCAAATTCATCATCGACCCTGACATGCGCATTAAAATCGCCCATGAATATGAGGGACTCCGTATTTGGCACTTTATACACGGCTTACTGTACTTCCCTTAGGAAGGTACAATATTCTCCTTCTAACTTGGGTGCATAAACCTGTACCAAGTTCAAGGCTTTAGCCTGCTGTAGCTGCAGTCGGAGGATGGCCACCCTTCCGGTGACAGGCTTCCAATCAATAATTTTATCGGCGAGTTTGGGTTCTAGCAGAGATCAACACCCGGATGAGCGCGAGTCGTGATATCGACACCTGAGTAGAGTGGCTTCCACCCTCAGAGGTTCCGGATTTCAGAGCCTCGGCGCTTCGTTGGCTAGAGTCGAACTATGTGGAGTTGGTACCTTATGGCCTCACCAACTCACTCCTGCTCTTTTCCTCTGAGTGAGGATATATTCCAATTTCCGACTCTAAGCTCGCACTGGTGGTGTTGGTGTCGTGGAGTCTTTTCTGACATGCCATAATGACATCACGCTGTTTGCCTCCTCCGTTCAGAACGTGTATAGACTCCGTTTTTGACTTATGCCTTCGTCTTCGTTTGGTCGATCCTCTTAACTCTTTATTGATGTTACATTTGAAAGGTATAAATATCATTCTCTGTTGAGACTAACGACGATTGCAGGAAAACGTTTCGGCAGTTTGTACAGCACTATTTCGCCAATTTTTAAATTTGAAGCACCTTGAGCGAGAAGGACGCCATCTTCCATATCATTTAATAACATCCATCAGGCACCTCGTTCCGCAAGATTTTCTGCTCACATTGCCAATGAATATTTTTCATCTTTTTAGAAGGTAAGCAGCACGGTATAAGCCTTCATGCAACTTACTCAAGGATTAATACCATGGAGGTGCCAAACAATTCGGTCAGTGTTAATAGTGTCGATGTGCTTTTGTAGACAGGAAATTCATAAGAATCTTTGCCAGGCCCTCATACAATCATGTCTCATTGGCCGATTTGTTTATATCAGACTTATACAGCTCCATGACGCGCAGCTATGTGATCCTTGCTGTGACACGACTGTACAATGCAATATACGTAACGAAGTTAAGACAGGGAAATTTCAAAATTTAGATACGCCTCACGGCCAGATAATGCTTTACCTTGGAAAAGATTTTTTTCATTCTTTGCTCCATTTCGCGAATGGCTTCTTCATTCACCAGTTGTTTCTTGGCTGGCTGGAAGACGTTAGGATTCGGTGGAGTCTCAAGAACTCGGTGGTGACCGATGACCATATCAACACACTGTTTCCATGGGTTGATATAAAGTGACCATTCTGAGCTCATGCTGACCTGATCTCCGTTGGCCAGCAAAAACTTGTACTTTGTACATGAAGATCGTTTGTCTTTCGAACGCACAGCTAGAGAAATTGTCACGAATAAGAAGTTGTATTAAATGGGTGTGTTGTATAGTGCAAAATAAAATCAGTACTTACTCTGTTTAAAGACAGTTTCGAATGAGCAGAAATCGCTTTGTTCGATGAATTGAAAAAACGACTGACCGATGATGTCTTGAGGCAAATAACCCCAATGACTGATGACCCTGAAATTAAGCTAACACTGAAAGAGTACTATACAAAAGTCAATGCACGACTACCTTTCGCTTATCGAAGCAAACCGGAAATCAGCATAGAATGTTGTGGAAAAACATCGAAAACTATCGAAATCTAAAACAGTATAGATGTTACGTGATGAAATTGCTTGAGCAGCGCAGAGAACCATGAAGATGACTGGTTCATAAGCAAGCATGATTAAATTTTGCTGGTCAACTTTGGAACACAGGGCACGTGAAACCAATGCAACCATATACATATTGAATTAATTTAATTTTCAGAATTTAAAATAGAAGAAAATATACAGTAACCGGAATACCGGAACCGATGTAAGAATAAAGAGATGTTAGACGCCTACCAAGAGCCAAAAATCTGTCAGTAAACGAACCAACGGCGGCGTAACTTCAATCACGCGTTATAATGTACTTTTAGGAGGCAGATAGTCTAACAATAAATGCAAATCGAATGATTAAAGGCCATCAGATTCAGTCACTTCGAAAAATGCTGTTAAACTGTTCGTTATAATACTTATTATTAAAAGTTCTACTGATATGTTTGTAGTAAACCTGTTGGTTACAGGGAAGTGATTTTTAGCGTTTCTGAGTGTACGTGCAAACATCCAATAGGTTAGGTTTAATACATTATTTCTGAATTCGAATTTAAATTAGTTGGAAGCAATAACTAATTTCCAACTTACTTCAGCAATGATTAAATTTCTGTTCTATGATTGAAGTGTATCTGAAAGCACACCTACAGTAAGTGCAACTGAGATTCAGGTAGTAGAGTTTAAGCTACAAGCAGCTACCATGAATACATACTGCAGTCCAGAAGTAGACTAAATCATATGCCACGACTTTGGTCTTGATTTATAACAGATCGCTTATGTTTAACCTGTTCATCAAAAGTGCTAATTCAGTGCCTTACGGCCCTCTGATTATTAAGCAGTAAATTACCATATAACATACTTTGTTTGTATGCGGGTTTTACCGGTAGTGCAATCAACATTGTTTCATTACTTTCTCGCTCGTTTCCTTCTACTAAACAGTTGCTGATCTCGCATGGCCAGAACGAGTCGTCAATCCTAAATACAAAGGCGCTGGTTAGCTTCAAGACCAGCAGGTGGCGTGTGATCGAAATAGAATGATGGCAATAGAGTCTTGACTGACAAACAAAGCGACTCACATTAAACCGAAGGACTAGAAAGACGGGCACCGCACTAGCAGTGCTACATCGAGCAAAATCATGGACAGTACTCCATAAACAGATGGCTTAGCCAGACTTATCTCAATGGCAGAAATCCGCAAAAACACTTGCGAAGAAATTCATGCGTTGGAGCATTACTCTTATGGCTCGTGAAATACTGACCAATGAAGATGTGTGATGATTTCGGATTGCGATAA